ATGTTCAGGTTTTATCTGCTTCTAAATTATAATATTTATTTAACTAGATTAGCACGTCTCCCCAATTTGCTGAATAAAATGAATTGATAACCTTCTATAGGAGATTGGCCGTTCAGGACGGGATGGGAGGTTGTCCCACTGCCATCTGTTGTTTGATGATATCACGTATTTCAAACTGAGAAGCCTCATGTACAGGTAAATAGATGGAATTTTAAATGATATGAAGATGACTTTAAATAAGTGAAATTAATATGCTGTGTTGTGTTTCAGTGATGGGGTAGATGAATACACAGTAAACAAGTTTCTCTTTCAAGTTTTCTCCAGTGACATGAATGTCCATGGGAAAATTTGCTCACTAGTTAAAGAAGCTGCATCTCGCAAATTTGACATGAAAGAAGAGGTCCTTCATTTTCCCTTTTTGGCATCAATGTTTAAGATATTTCATATTCAACTTGTATTTACCTTAATGGAGGAATTTTAATATAATCGAAATGAGTTTTGCTCTTAAAAACTGATTTTTAGTTTATGATTTCTTGAAGAAGTCAAATTATATATTCAAAATTTTATTTATTACATTAATAAATAGGATTGGCAGTAAAACATTTGATTAATTTACTAACCGATTCAGCTACCTATTAGTCTGGATATGCAGAAATGTGCAACTTTCTGTACTCCCTGCTCCTTTATTTTGTTTTGTTTTTGCTTGAGGTAATTCTTATTTACTAAGAACTGGAGAATAATATAATCAGTTTAGGTGCATGCATTACCATATATAAATAATAGATTGGACTTCTTGTCTATCAATTTAAGTTTTGAGATAGACTACAAATAATTATTTAACATGATATTTGAGCAAGGAGTAGAGATTAAATTTGGCCTGTATACCCCCTATTCTGTTAATTAAATTTAAACACAAGATAGTGAAATCTTCTGCTTGATCTGCAGTTTCAACAAAGTAGGCTTGCAAGTGAAGGGTTGTGCTAATAATATAAATGATAGATGATGTAGCATAGCAGATTAGGATTTAGAAAGAGAAAATTAAAGAAAATAAAGATAAATCTAATCTACAGTTACAAGATTGGACAACTACAATCACACTATTATTTGGTACTCAATTCAACTAGAGAAAATCTACAATACATGTATTTATAAAATACTAAACTAATAATAAAACTATTATAACAAATCTTAAACAAGCTTAAAATCTCTAGTAATATATAAATATTATAATTACGGAATATCCCATAATATTGAAATATATAAAATCTTGAGTCCTCTTGTTTTGTATTAATAGATCAGACTTCTTTTATCAGTCTACACTTTTGGGATGATTAACTACAATAAACTATCTAAGGGTTATATGCATAGAAACTTTGGTGCATTTTTCCCCATGCAGCCAGTAATCTTGTTTAGTATGCATGATGTTGCTTTGGTTATGGCTATGGCTCTTCTTCTGTGGTATAAAATATCTTAATGGTTGAAACTGTCAATCACGTTGGACTAAAGTTTCTGATTTTGACTCTGGCAGGTTATACTCACACTTTTAACACACTTGGAGTTGGGGGAAGTGCAATACTTGTGTCTCCTTCCGCAGTTAATGTAACCTGCACTTTGAGTTTCCACAAGGTGGCAATCATTAGTTGGAGTACTGCTTTTATGTAATGAAATTGTGATGTCAATCTTGTGATGCTTGAAAATAGTGGTGATTTATTGTCATACAGACTTCTCCAGGTTTGCTTGCTGATAAGGATATGTTGGCTGCAGCAATTTTAAAGAAGTAAGTATAGCTGGTTGGGAAAAGAAACCTAAGTGTATTTTTAAGTTATGAGCTTCTTGGTAATTGATTTACGCTTGAAATAATTTTCAGATCTGAGATCAGGCGAGGGCAATATGTTTTTGATATACCCAGTGTGGCAAATAGCATTGGAGTTACAGCTACAGAGTTATCAAATCAGTTGCAAAATCTTAAGGCTGGTGCTTTCATTAATTCTTAGCGAACTTACTTTTACATCTTTATTCCAATACAAGAAATAATTTGTAGAAAATCATGAAAGGGTAGTTTAGTAATTTTGTGTGAATTTGTTGTGGACAGGTAGGGATGTCGGCTACCACAATATTCCTTTTTTCTTCATTATTAGGATATTTTTCGGGTGCCAGGTGCCTATATAATGACACTGTCCTTATTCTGTAATGTAAGAAAAATTAGAGAATGAATTCTTCTCCTTTCGAAAATCTTCATCTTCCTTCCCTAAAATCTTCATGGTATCAGAGCCTCTTTGATTTAGAAGCTTTAATCCAACTGAGCCGAATCCTTAGACGGCTGCAGATGAGCAAAATTCCTCTCCACCCAAAATACTCTCGGGTGCTTATCTACCTATACCCATCAACATCGGATTGGTGGAACAGTCTTCATCGTTCATCACCAGCTACAAACTCAACGGCAACAACTATCTGCAATGTTTTTTGTCAGTGCTGTTGTTCATCCGAGGGAAAGGATATGATGAATACTTGATTGGCGAAATCATATTGCCATCAACACACAACCAAATGCGCGAGCCTGGAAGATTGAAAATAGCATGGTCATGTTGTGGCTAGTAAACTCCATGATTTTTGAGATTTGAGAGAACTTCTTACTCTACGAGATTGCGCGCGAAGTTTGAGAAGCTGCCCGACAGTTCTACTCCAGTCAGGATAACATGTCGGTCATCTTCAAGGTTGAATCCGCCCTCCATGAGCTTCAACAAGGTGAGATTTCTGTTATCCAGTATCATAATTCTCTCACTCGTAATTGGCAGCAGTTTGTTTTCGAAGAATACAAATGATGCTATTCAGAAGATGCAAAGAAGTTCAAAACGATTGTTGAACAGAAGAGGATATTCAAGTTTCTAATAGGGCTGAACAAAACTCTGGATGACGTAAGAGGACGAGTGTTAGGCACAAAGCCCTTGTTGAGTATTCGAGAAGTTTTTTCTGAGTTCCGTTGCGAGGAGAGTCGGGAAAAGGTGATGATGGGAGAAACCCAGCTCGCTCAACTGAGTGAGAACGCCTCGACACTCACCACCTGGGTCATTGATAAGAGAGGACGGCCATGGTGTGAATTTTACAAAAAACTAGGCCATCTTTGTGAGAAATGTTGGAAGCTTCATGGAAAACCGGGAGAGAAGAAGCCCATCAGACCAGAAATTCATCACGGAAATCTAGCAACCTCGGATGATACATCAAACACTCAACTTGACAGTGCTCCCTTCAGTTCGGAACAGATGGAGGCCCTCCTAAATATGTTTTCACAAAAGGGTCTTATCGGTAATGCTTCAATTACACAAAAAGGTAATTCTCTACTTGGTTTATCTGCCTATTCTACAAAAAAACAAATGTGGATTTTGGATTCAGGAGTATTTGATCATATGACAGGAGATTGTTCACTGCTTCACAGATACAGTGAGTGTAAGGAGGTATTTTCTATAAAAATTACTGATGGAACAAGTTCTAGAGTGACAGTAATTGGCTCAACTGATATATCACCATGTTTGACACTACAGTCAGTCCTTTATGTACCCAATTTGAATTGCAATCTGTTATATGTGAGCAAACTATCTAGGGACCGGAACTGTGTTATTAAATTTGACGCTGATTTTTGTGTATTTCAAGACTTCACTTCGGGGAAGACGATTGACACTGCTAGGTTGGAGTTAGGACTATATCTTTTACCAGTTGAAACATCTCTTTCAAATGGACAAACTTCAAATGCAATATGTGTTAATTCAGTTTTTGTAGGATGTTCAAAAAATGACCACTCTATCATGTTATGACATTACCTATTAGGACACCCAAATTTTTTGTATTTGAAACAACTGTTTGTTGCTTTATTAAGAAATAAAAGTCTGCTTTCATTTCAGTGTGAAGTATGTCAATTATCTAAATATATTCGAAATTCTTTTCCAAGTTTGACATATAATCCTCAAAGTCTTTTGCATTAATTCATAGTGATGTATGGGGACCATCACAGGTAAATAACATTACTGGTACAAAATGGTTTGTATCCTTCATTGATGATCACACTAGAATTACTTGAGTCTTCCTTATGAAAGAAAAATCTGAAGTGGGCCAAATATTACAGAAATTCAACACTATGATTCAAAACCAATTTCACATCACAATACAAGTGTTGAAATCAGATAATGCATGCGAATATTTTGAATCCACCCTGAGAAAATACCTTACTGATTAAGACATCATCCATCAAAGTTCATGTGTTTACACCCCACAGTAAAATGGTATAGCCGAAAAAAAAAAGATATATTCTTGAAGTTACTCGATCACTTATGTTTACTACACATATTTTCATATATCTTTGGGGAGAGGCTATCCTCACCGGCACTTATTTGATCAATAGGATGTCTTCCCGTATACTAAAACTTAAATCACCCTACGAAACTCTCCTTCGAGCCTTCCCTAAATCTCACATTCTTAACACAGTTCTGTTTAAAGTCTTTGCCTGCTCTGGTTATGTTCATATCCATGCTCATCTCAGGGGGAAACTAGACCCAAGGGCCCTTAAATGTATATTTGTTGGATACTCATCAAATCATAAAAGATACAAATGTTTTTTTCCAGGTACCCATGAGTTTTACAACACTATGGATGTAACATTTTTTGAAAACCAACCATTTTATTCTATTCTTGATATTCAATAGGAGAATTTCACTCAAGAATATCAATTGTAGGATGTGAGCACACCTTCTCCACATCTTTTTGACAAATACACCTTCTCCAACAACTGAACTGGTCCCTGAAACTATAAAAGAGTTTGAATTTGTCACAGAAACTGATAGCACATTACCTGCAAAGAGTGAGTTACGTATCTATACTAGAAGGAACAAGACTCAAGATAGTAAAGTACTGAACCAACTACGCATTGTCGTGAATCAACTCCTGGACTAGGCACTCAGAATACAACAGGTAATGAAATCTCTGACTCATCGACTAATATTGATACTAAGTTACTTATTGCTTTACGAAAAGGTGTTCATTCTTGCACCATGCATCCCATACAGGATTATGTCTCATATGGTAAATTGTCTTCAACATATCATACACTTGTGAGTAAACTAGACAACAACACCATGGAACCAAAAATAGTTCATGAAGCATTCAAGTTTCTAGAATAGAAAGCTGTAATCCAAGAGGAAATTAAAGCACTTGAGAAGAATGGGACATGCTGAATTGCCTTTAGGAAAAACTCCAGTTGGATGCAAATAAATCTTCACTACAAAGTATAATCCAGATGGAAGTGTGAATCGGCACAAATGCCGCCTTGTTGCTAAAGGTTTTATTCAATCGTATGAGATTGATTATCATGAGACATTTGCCCCAGTTGTCAAGCATAACACTATTCGGGTACTATTCTCATTAGTTTCAAATCTTGTTTGGCCTCTTTATCAACTTGATGTGAAGAATGTTTTTCTCAATGACGATCTAAAAGAAGAGGTGTATATGAATGTTCCACCAAGACTTGAAATGAACCCGCAAAAGGTATGTAAACTAAAAAAGACACTTTATGGTCTCAAGTAGTCCCTGAGGGCATGATTTGATAGATTCACTAGGGCAGTGAAACATATGAGATATGAACAGTGTCAGTCCGATCACACATTGTTTGTCAAATAAGTGTCACAGGTAAGAGAGTTGTTCTGATTGTGTATGTTGATGATATTATCTTGACTGGTGATCATGTTGAAGAAATTCAGAGATTTAAAAGCTTTCTAGACAAAGAGCTTGAAATCAAAGATCTTGGGATACTCAAGTATTTTCTTGAAATAGAAATATCTCGGTGTAAAAAAGGAATCTCTGCATCACAATAGAAATATATCCTAAATCTCCTAAAAAAAGACAGGTATGCTTAGTTATAAACCCGCAAAAACACCTATGGAGTCAAATGCTTAGCTAGGTCTCAAAACTGATAGTAAACATGTTGATAGAGAAAGGTATCAGAGATTTATCGGCAAGCTTATCTACTTAACTCACACAAGATCTGACATCAGTTTTGCAGTGAGTACGGTGAGCCAATTTATATCTCAACCTACAGAAGAACACATGAGTGTGGTATACTGGATTTTGAGATATCTAAAAATGACACCAGGACGGGGATTATTCGTTCAAAAAATAATGAATAAGGACATTGAAATCTTTATTGATGCAGATTGGGCAGGATCAGTAACTGATAGGAGATCTACATCTGGTTATTGTACATATGTGTGGGGCAACCTAGTCACTTGGCATAGTAAGAAACAATCTGTTGTATCAAGAAGTAGTGCTGAAGCTAAATTACGGTCACTTGCTCATGGGAGATGTGAAGGAGTGTAGCTGAAAAAGATACTACTTGAACTAGGATTCTCAGTTTCTACCCTTATGAAACTCTGGTGTGATAATCAATCAACCATTAGCATGACAAAAAATCTTGTGTACTATGATAGAATCAAGCATGTTGAGATTGATCGACACTTCATCAAGAAAAAATTGAAGATCAGGCCATAACACTATTATATGTTCCAACCAGTCAACAAATTGCAAACATACTCAAAAGACACTACCAAAAGGGGCGTTTAATAATACTGTATCCAATTTATAATTACTCATTATGTATGTAAACCTAGATTGAGGGGGAGTGTAGAAAATTATTGAAACGGTAGTTTAGTAATTTTGTGTGAATTTGTTGTGGATAGGTGGGGATGCCCGTTACCACAATATTCCTTCTTTCTTCATTCTGTTAGGGTATTTTTTTGGGTGCTAGGTGTCTATATAATAATACTCTTCTTATTCTGTAATGTAAAGAAAATTAGAGAAGGAATTCTTCTCTCGAAAATCTTCATCTTCCTTCCCTAAGATCTTCATGATTGAAGTAAGAAGGCTCTACTTTTGCTTAGTTAAGATACATTCTGTTTTTTCACTTTTTTATATAGGGCTTGTCTGTTTGAGGTTTGTTTATGCATGTTAGTCTTTGCTTTTGAAGTGTATTCAAAAATAGAAATACATTTCGTAATTTTATTGGGGTTTCACTTGGATTCTTTGATGTTGTGATATCTCAAGATAGTGCATTCTCATATCAGTTACTCAATTAGCAAATGAAAGAAATTGGAAGTGAACGGGAAGGACCCAAAATAAAAATGAAACTGAAGTTACCATCATTTGTGTGGAAAAGGCTAACATATCGCATAAAATCCTTAACAGAATCTCCAATTAAATGTTGGAATGTAATAGGAATACTTCATTATATTCTAAGGGTGTATATTATTATATGTACAAAACTGGTAATTGTTTGATTATAAGGCATTATATTATGATAAAGTTGTTTCCATGAATGGGGAGAGAGAGGGCGGGGGAAGAAAATCTGAGAAGATATGGAGATATCAAAAAACATATGGTTTGTTCAACTATTAGCAATTATAACGAACTTCACAGTCAAGTAAACTTAGAAGATAGCAGTTTTTCTGAAGGGGTTTGACAAGCTTTTTCTAATTGTTTGTGGTTTTGGAGGAAAATGGAGCTTCCATACTGTTATATACTCATCAAACTGTTGTTTACATTGCAGTTGCAGTTTTCTGCCTCTAATTGCTTTTACAAAGTTCATTAGTCTAATGCTTATCAAATTTTTATTTTCTCAAGCTCAATGTTTTTCTGAAAATATCCTTTTTTTTTCTCATCTTCTGACATTATTGTAGTTGAAGGGAGAGATAACCTATGAAGTGAAGGATCCGGCCTTTTGTTATATGATTAAGGAAGTCCCGGAAGATCTTTGCTCTCTTTCTTTGCATCTTACTAAATGGTTATCAGAGATTGAAGCTTGCAAGGTAAGCATATAATCATTTGAAAAGCTGCTTCTAATGCATTGGTGCCCTTGAGGACAAGTTTTTCTCTGTAGCCAATGGATATGATATATAGGACCAACTAGATAAACTTAATGATATAAGCATCTCTGTTTCTATGGTAGCATGCTCTCAGATTGCCCCATTTATCCCCTATTTTTTTTTTATCTTCCATCCAAATGCGGAGAAAGCAAATCCAGGTGATTATCCTGTTCTTGAGGTTAAACTGTTCCACTTGATTCTTAACATAGTTGAAAGGATCTGCACATGCATAGACATGTATATCATGAATAAATGCTATTATCCAACTAAATATCCTATATGCAAGCTCTTCTTAGCGTGTTCACATCCTTTTCTTAAACCTGCAATCAGACAGCTTTTCTTTTCCTCAAATTTGGAATAGGTAAGGAAATTGGATGCAATGTTTGATGCTGCAGTCTCTGCGGTAACTGTCTGTGACAAAATAGAAGGCTGCTTTGGTGCTCAGCACACACCATGCTTGCAGAGGAAGATATTAAGTTACTTTAACGGAGACGATAACTATAATGCCTCTAATAAGATTGGTCAGAGCAGGTAATACAAATTTTACTTCCCTAGATAGCAGAAAAAAGTGTGATTTCTGAATTTATAATTTGGGACAAGTCAGATATTGGAAGATAATAC